GTCCATCTAATAAACGGCTCAAGAAATCGGATATTGTCAACGATTTGCAAACAAAAACATCGATTCCCTATAATGACGATTAATATACATATATTTTTTTTTATTTATATTATTATTATTATTAGTTTTCATCATAAAAAATAAATAAAATAAAAAATACATTATTGCCAATCATATATATATATATATATATATACTATTTAAGAGCTATTTAAATACCTGTCCTCATCATCATACATACCTATATTGATATACATGATATATATATATATATAAATGACATTATGTGCGCTCATTTAGCCTGACTATGTTAGCCCCCCATCACACACACACACACACACCCTAACCAACCAACAAATATACAAACCGATGATAGCCTGGCGTCTCTAACCTATTAACAAATGTTAAAATAAAATAAAATATGAAAAACCAAAGCATACACCCCATCGACAGGTCATAAACTGTATCTGTAATCGTCAACAACAACAACAACAAAAAATCATAAAAAACTGTTTTATTATATATATATATATATTGATGAAGAAGTGTTTGCGTGTCTATTGATGTCTTGTCGTTGTTGTGTCTGAAGACATGCGATGATGTGTTTTAAATAAAAGAGGGGCTCTTCTTCTTCATCTTCAACAACAACTGTCTTCACCACCACGTCTTTACCACAGCAGTGGCTGACAATCAAATCCTCAGCGATAGTAATAATTTTTTTTGTGGTAATAATTTAGGGTATATTACATGTTATATATATGTATATATATGTATATTTCATAGCCCATACCCACAATACCCCATACCTATCGACCGACCGACCGACCGACCACTCGCACAGTCAGTTTATATATATATTTCATATAAATTCAAATTTCTGTATAAAGTTATATACAATATATATATACTGTTTATATATATAATATTTTACTGGAAAAATAAAAATGTTGTTTTTCAAAATTTTAATGGAAATAGAAATATGTAATGTTTTTTTAATTTTTTTTTGTTTCGTCAAATATATATATATATACAGACAGTCAGTCATAGAGAGAGAGAGAGAGAGAGAGAGAGAGAGAGAGAGAGAGAGAGAGATGACTTTAAACACAACATTTGATGGTTTTTAATGATTGAAAATAATAATAATAATAATAATAACTCAACGGTTAGTTTTTTTTAATCATAAATATTATTATTATTATTATTATTATTATTTTACTGTAAATGTATATATATATATATTGTTGGTATTTATTATTGATTCTGTTATTTTTTTTAAATCAAAAAAAATATATCTTATTTTTTTATGTTAAAACACAAAATAATAATAATAAATAATAATAAGAGACAAATTACACATAAAAAACATATATTCAACAAAAAATAAAATAAATAATTTCATGAAATATAAACATAAACACATTTTCATACTTATATTGTAAAAAAACATATACTGTATATACAGTATATATATRTATAATCTAGTGATATATACATGTAATTTAAATACACAGTACTGTATTATACAGATATATATATATATAATGTACTAAAAATATATGTTGGCTTTTGTTTGGTATTATTATTATGTAATGTAATCAATAAAAATAACGCATTTTGATGAATACATTAGTAGTGTGTTTATAGTACAGTAGTTAGGACTGGTATTATACTTATGTGTTGTTGTGTTGTAATACTAGTATTATTGTTTGGTGGTGTTTATGGGAACCCGACTTAAATTTTTTTTTTTTTTGAGTGTCTATTATCTACAAAATTGTATGTTTATGTCGGGTTATTATGAGCTGTCATGTCATTTGAAGGGATTGCATGTCATCGCAGTTGATGTGCATATCTCTCTCTCTCTCTCTCTCTCTCTCTCTYTCTYTCTCTCTCTCTCTCTCTCTCTCTCTCTCTCTTTATCTCTGACCACTGGTTTTGATTAAAACGATACTTACATTTATAGTCTCTCTCTCTCTCTCTCTCTCTCTCTCTCTCTCTCTCTCTCTCTCTCTCTCTCTATATATATATATATATATATATATATATATATATATCACAATATCTGTACATTCAATGAATGGCACCGTCACGTCAACTGATCACTCGCTTATCTGATCACTGATCTGACGGTACGTATATATATATATATACTGTATATACAGTATATTAATACCCGGCGTTTCCAACACTACTACTCACAGTCAGATCAGTAGCACCGGAGTGTGTGTGTGTGTGTGTATATATATTTTTAAATAGGACTCACAATCAGATAAAACTCATGTATGTCTCTCTGTATTATCAAATATATATATATATATATATATATATATATATATATATATATATATATAATATATATAGTATATCCACTTAAATGCCACTACTATCGTGTGTCGCGCATATTATTATCAAACAAAATATATATATATATATAATACTTCAGGTATTACTTAGTGATAGTAGTAGTAGTGATACTATAGTAGTAGTAGTAGTTGTTGTTATCAGTTTCCCATACATTTTATATGGTCTGTCAGTCAGTCAGTCAATCACTTACTTTACTTAAACACACAAACACTTTAAAAAAAAAACTTATACTTACTTTTTGTTTTAAGTAATATATTTTTATATGTATTAACAGTATATTATGATATTATTTTATTTTTTTCATTTAATAGATTCACTTTAAAAAATAAAGAAAATTAAAATTATCACTAAATTTTTTTGTTTGTTTGAAAAATAATTTTTTTTTTGTATTTAAGATAAATAAATAAATAATTTTTAAATCTATAATATTTTGTTGTGTAGTTTGTTTGCACTCAACTATATACTGTATATACAATATATATTAATAAATTATTGACACTTAATTAGTGGCTATTTTTTAAATATATTTATATATTGATATATATTTATAGCAATTATTATTATTTTGTGTAAACGGTGTTTGATAGGTATAAAAATATTTGAATTAAAAAATTAATCATCCTCTATACTAGTAGTATATATTAATATAATTATAACAAAAATTATCCTATTTATATAATAAACAAAATTTTTGATGATAATAATTAATTGATAAAATTTTTCACACAAAAAAATTAAAAACACTTTTATTTTTGGTTTACATTGATCTATCTATGCATTTAATTTTTCATCCATGATATATATACAGTATATAATTTAATATATATATATATATATATATATATATATATATATATATATATATATATATATATATATATATAATGTGTATAATTTAGATTATATACTGAATATAAACTTTATATATATATATATATATATATATATATATATATATATATCAAATTGAATCTCATCAACGATAGAGAGAGAGAGAGAGAGAGAGAGAGAGAGAGAGAGAGAGAGAGAGAGAGAGAGAGAGAGAGAGAAAGTGTTAATAAGTTTTATAAGTTTTCAAACATACAAAAAAAATAACTAAAATAATAGATTACTTACACTTAATGAACGAATTAAAATTAGTGTATAATTTTTTTTCGTTGCTTACAATTTTCAGTGTTAATACACTACAGTATTATTATTATTATTATTATTATTATTATTATTATTATTATTATATAGCAGTAGATTATAGCAAAGTTTTAGAGGAAAGTGTAGCACAAAAAAAGAGAGGCATTTATTTTCTTAATGAAGTTTAAAATTTATGACTATTTTTCTCACTTTTCTCTCTCTTTCTTTTTCTCTCTTTCTTTTCATTTATTTTTTTCTCGTTTTCTACTCTCTCTCTCTCTCTCTCTCTCTCTCTCTCTCTCTCTCTCTCTCTCTCTCTCTCTCTCTCTCTCTCTCTCTCTCTCTCTCTCTCTTATATATATATTTGCTGTTCATTTCCAAAGCACATGTCGTTACCATTGATTGACTTTTGTTTCAAGTGAACAGTTAGCTAACAATATATATATATATATATACCAAATGTTATATTACATCATTCAATTGTATAGTAGTATTGTATATACTGTGTACTATACTTGTATTATATAATAATATATATCAAACTGTATATATACTCTACAATAATAGATACACACACACACACATATATATACACACATATATATATAGTATATATACACCAACAATGGCACAGTTATTACCAGTCGTTTGTGTTGTTGTTGAGATGATATTAGGAGTTCAGTGATTCAGTTATATGTATGGTTAGTATATATATATATATATATATTGGGCCTTAATATTAGATTTTCATTTTACTTGATTTTGTTGTTATATACTGTATTATACACAAAGTTTTCTCTCTTTCTCTCTCTCTCTCTCTCTCTCTGAACACAAACGAAATGATCGTTTCATTTAATGAGTGCTTTATATTATATATAAAACTATATCAATGTTTTATTCCTCTCTCTCTCTCTCTCTCTCTTTCTCTCAAAAACATTTTGCTAAAATAGACACATAAATAGTGTTTATAGTACTGAATATATTTTATGTCTGATTGTGTATTATGTTGTATCCAATATTGACTAAAACACACACATATATAAAGTATATATAATATTCAATATAATACTACATAAGATCATACATAACATACATATATAAAATAAAATACTACTATATTATTCAACTATATTATATATGATATACAGTATCTTATTGTATATTTTACATAAAAATTTTTAGCTGTAATATTTCAAAATACATATATATATATATATATATATATAATAAACATTTTTAATATCCTTTTTGATGTCCTTTATTGTTGTTGATCTCATATATATATACACACAGTAAGTATACTGTATTTTTTGAAGATATATCGATATAATGTCACAAACTTTAACCTACTTTTTCTATGTGTATGTGTTTCATGTGATTCATTAATATTTGATTTCATAAATTGATAGCAAATATTACTACTACTATCAGGATATACAGTATATATATACTATACTATTATATAGTACTGTATTTATATATATATATATATTTTATGAGACAATCATCAGTTAACAACAAACTTATAGTAAATAAATAAATAAATAAAAAATAAATGAATTCAACTAAAAGTTTATTATACAGTATTATGTTTCGGTGTATTGAAATAATTTGATGATTTTATGGATATATATATATATATCATATATTGTATATTATATTAGAAAAATAAAAAACTCACAAATAATTAAAACAAAACAATATTTATTTATTTATTTAGTTATTTGTTTTTTGAGAAATTTATTATTAAATTTATTTATTAAATTTTTTTATTCAATAATATAATAATATTTCATTTTTAAATTCTTCACAATATATTTATCAATAATTATTTTTTAATTATTAATTTTTAATTTTATTATTTAAACGAGTGATCACTTAAAAACAACAATTTATTTGTTTGTGTGTTTTTTATACATTATTATTAGTATTTAATATTATTATTATTATTATTTTTAGGAAAGTTGTTTTAGTTTTAGTTTAATTATTATTATTATTATTAAAAGATTTTTTTATATATATGTTTAAAAATATTTACAAATAATTTATATAATAATAATATAATAGAATAATAATAATAATAATAATAACTATTTACAATAAACTTATTATAATAATAATAATACTAATAATAGTTTTTTTGGGGGGGAGGGGTTGGGGGTGGGCTCACACCTCTCGATTTATTAATTAGTTATCTATTATAATAATAATAATTATATATAATAACAACAATTTCATTAGCAATTAAATTACATAGTTGTATACAATATTTTTTTTTTGTCACCAAAAAAATTATGTTTTAAATATTTTTAATCTCATATTTTTAGTGTATTATAATAATCTCAATAAATTTTATTTAAACAAAAAATAATAATATGTACTGTAAAATAACAATGTGCTCAAAAACTCATAGACATTAAAAATTAATTTTGTTTGTATTTTTTAAACCATTTATAATATACTATCAATAGTTTCTCACTTATAGGAAATGCAACAAAAAAATATCATTATTATTATTATTATTACTATCAATATTACTAATATAGATATTTAAAAAAATATATATATAGTAGTGATTGTAGTATCAATAATAATAATAATAATTTTATAAAAATTTTATCTAATAATGTCAATGAATTTTGGTTTTTTTTAAACGGGGAAACAAAATATTTATGTATCGTTTGATTTACCAAAAAAAAAATTATTATATATATATATGACACACAAAAATAATAACTAAGCAATTGGTGTGATTGTGATTGACACACAAATCTTTAGCAATTTTTGTTGTTGTTTTTGTTGGTATTGTTTGTCACCTAAAAAAAGACAACTATTTTTTTTTGGTATTAATTTTTTTGTTGTAGACAACTCTTATGGTGGATGTAGTAGTAGTAGTAGTAGTAGTCATATGAAAGGGTGAGTTAGTTATATAATAATAATAATACTATATATATATATATAACAAAAATACAATTGAAAAGAGAGAGAGAGAGAGAGAAAGAGAGAATAATAATAATAATAGAGAAAAAAAATTTTGCGACAAATAATAATAATTATATATTCAATATATAAATATATATTACAGATATAATTATATGATTTAGTATTTTATTTTTTTTTTCAGTGTTGTATTCAATAGTGAAGAGCGCCGTCAATATTATTAGAGGCCATCCCCGGTGTGTGCTGTTGTTGTTGTTGTTGGTGTTGTTGTGTAATCATTTGAGCGGTATGTCCGCCGGTCGGTACAGTTTGGTTGTCGGCGCCGCCGACGACACCTGTATGTAGGAATTGCGGCGCACCGTCGGCTGTCAGCGCCTGCGGATGGCCGAGATGTGTGGGGTCGCCCATAAATGCCGGTACCAGACCGTCGGGTGCATGGGCCGGGGGACCTTGTTGGCGGGGGAAAAAATCGTAGAAACCCTGATCCATGGGCCCGGTATGCGGCTGCTGAGGAATGCCGTATTGAAATTCGCTCGGATTACTCGAGTCTATAATATATAATATATAAAAATTAAAATTAAATATTGAAATTATTTTGTTTTTTTTGGTGTGAAAATATATATATTTTATGTTTTTAAAAGGCTATTCCTATTGTATGTATATATTTTGATACACACACACACACACACTGGTAGTAGTGGTAGTAGTGATTCAAACACATTGGTATGTCTATGTATGATCGATATGGACTACCGGTATATACATGTATATATATATATATATGTACCAATATACTATATATATATATCAAAATGTGAAATGCTAGGCTCAATGACCCTGTACGATTAGTTATATACAGAGAGACAGTATATATATATATGTGATATAAAATTTATATATATATATATATATATATATATATATATATATATATATATATATATATATATATATATATATATATAGTTTATGTTATGTTGAAGCAATTGTCTATTGTGTTATGTGAATGTGTGTGTATGTGTGTAGCACTTGGAGGCAAAATCGAAAATCGATGCCTCGGAATGGATCATT